ACATCACAGTGCCATGTGCCCCAGATACCAGATGCAGAACCTCAGGACTTGTTTTCCCAGCTGGATTTCAGTCCTGCTTTGTTCCTATCCCTTCTTTCTATGCCCCTAATTTTGTGAATGGAAATATTTACTCTGTATCATTATATATTGGATACTTGTAAACCACTTTTAATTTTGCAGGAGCTCACAATGCAAGATTGCCTTGAGTCTCAGAGAAGATTTTGGACTCAAACTTTGAGCAATCTCAGAACTGTTGAGACTATGGGGACTTTTGGGAATGACTAAATATATTTTGAATTGTCAGATGAGTGTGAACTTTTGGGGACCAGGCACAGAGTGTTATGGTTTGGATATATGGTATCCCCCAAAAGCTCACATGTGAGACAATGCAAGAAGGTTCAAAGTAGAAATGATTGGATTGTGAGAGTCTTAACCCAATCAGTGAATTAAATTAACCCCCCTGAGGGGATTAACTGAAGTGGTAGGGTATGGCTGGAGAAGGTGGGAATTAGGGGACATGGCTTTGGGGTATGTATTTGTTTCTGGCAAGTGGAGATTGCTCTCTCCCTGCTTACTGATCATCGTGTGAGCTGCTTCCCTCTGCCACACTCTTCTGCCATGATGTTCTGCCTCACCTTGAGCCCCCCAGGAATGGAGCCAGACTTCTATGGACTAAGACCTCTGAACCATGAACCTCTAAACAAACCTTTTTTCCTCTACAACTGTGCTGGTTGGGTCCTTTAGTCACAGCAGTGACAAAGCTGACTAAAACACACAGTTATACATACCTAGAAGTATTTGTCATATGCTTTCAAACAGAGGAAAAAAATACCCTAAAAGGGAAGAGGACACAAGTAAAACTCTACCTTCTTTTCATCAAAGAAGGAGATTTTATAGAAAACTGCAAGAGACATAACTAAATGGAAGAGGCCCATACTCTTGGACACTGTGACTTTAGGGAACAGTGGCTAGGCACAGCTCAGACTGTAGGAGGCCACCACAAGAGGGAGGCAGACTTGCCAACCAGGCTCTGAGGCTGTCTCTCTGGCTGTCACTTGAGCCCCTCTTGGTGGTGAGGTCAAGGCTCAGCAGTCATGGGCTTCCTTTGATCACCCCCAGCCACACAGGCCACCATATCAAAGGCGGCTTTTTGTTCAAAGAAAGCTCACTACTTAGGTGAAGACCAGAAGGTGAGTAGTAAGCTGGGGAGTCTAAAATTGACAGGCTTAAGAAGTTAATATGACCTGAAGGGACCTGAGCTGAGGGCCTAATGGGAGGAGATATGGAAAGTTCTAGAAGCCCCCACTTCTATCCAGAGGTGATAGAATAGACTCATTTCACAGACACTGTTTAGTGACAGCCTTGATGTTATAAATATAGAAACAGAGGTCTGGGGGTGTCCCCAGTTGCAGTGGTATAAATGATGAGGCTCGAACCAAAATATCCCCTCCTGGCTTTAAAAGTGCATTCTGCCCTTTATTGTTATTACCCTAGTTGGAAAATTTTATGACTTTATATTAGTGAGTTGTAGTGGAAAGATGTTATAGTTTAGGAGCTTGAAAAATGCAAGTTCAAACCATGCAGTGTCAAAAGTTATTGGTTGAGGGAGTTTTGGATGGTTATGGTGAATTCAGAGTCACACTATTACTCAAGCAGAGCTGACCATGCTACCTTCACACTCAGTGGATAGGAAAAACTGAGGAGTAAGTGTGAGAGGAAAGACCTAGCTACAGAGGCGTCCCCTTTAAAACTGCTCAGGTGTATGTGTGTGCATGCATACATTTAGTAAGTGTGTTTATGTGTGTTTCTTAGAGTTGTCATGACTGTCATATATGCTGTTATTCACTTTTGGCCTACAGGATTCAATTTTTCCATATGGCAACTAAAAATAAGAGAAAGTTTCCAATAAAAGGGTAATTTATGAACACTGGAGTGGGGGGCATGCCACTTTATTTACCTTTAGACAAGAGGATACATGTGACTTGTTTGTAGAAATGAATTTTTTTTTGGTGCAAGTATTTTTTTATTGTTGGTGTACAAACATGTTAATCTTAAGCTAAACAATACATAAATAATGCAAATAATGAGAGCTCAATTTACCTTTACCTTGGACAAAAATTAGCATTAGAAATTTATAAAATCTGTCAAAGCTTCATACTCTATCTCATTATACCTATTTTGTAGTAGTGACTCTGCCTACTCAGACAATAGGAAATGATTCCTACACTACCTGTACTTGAATATTAAAACTGTATTTTCTATGAAAGAAAGGGGATGGCCTTACTCTGTTCAGTTAACTTCCAGCTGTCAGCTTCTCTAGTTGAGGCTTGCTAGCTGTTCTTCTACTTTAAACAGGACAAGGTCTTTGGTTTCATCCTTATTTTAACCCATTAGCAATGGTCTCTCATCACAGCTGTTCACTGAATATCTTATCCTAGTTATCTGGTTTGTAAATAAATGCTTCTGAAAATAAGAGACTAAGGTGAATTGGGAGAGTTTGGTAGCTTTGTAGGTGATAATCAAATGGCAAACTTGAAGGATATTCTTAAGCCTAAGATCTATGATTCTATGATTAAACTAGTTCTGAAAAAAAACCCACTTACTCAGGAAGAACTCCACTTGCCTCTCTTCTCATGGTTTGAAAGGTGTTTTCAGTGCATGTTGAATTTAAGATCAGTCCTGCAGGGATCCGATGGGTCCTATCCAAGTGCAGGCCAAGTTGGTGCCAAAGCCAGTTGGGCTCCCAGGTCACAGCCCACTGAGAAAGTCTGGGTTCCTGAGGTGCACCAATGCAGCCACATCCCCTGGAATCCTGAGGCAGGACCAGGGAATTTGGATCCTCTCATCAGGCCCAACATGTGAGCAGTCAAGGACTGTCCACAGCAGTTAGGGCAGAATTGCTGGACTCTGGATACAGATGAGGGGAGGGGAGGGTGAGCCATGAGAGAGAGTCTCAGGCAGCTTCTGTCAACAGGAAGGCATGTCTGATGGTGTGTTTTTAGCATCTGTTAACCATGAATGTGGCACATAGATGAGAGTACAGAATCAGAGGAGATAGCTGATATTATTGGAGAATGAGATAGTTCACTTTGGTGAATTTTCCAAACATCTGGAAAAAATGTGTACATTGAACTCATTTTCAGGGAAACTTTTTAATAGACTGTACATTTTCCTGTCTTTTTAAGCAAAGTATGAGTTGAAGTTAAAACACTAGGCTAGTCTTTAAAATAGTGAAGCCTTGAGGTTTATTAAGCTATGGCCAGTTTCCTGTCTATACAGGAAATCATGAAGTTTCCTCAGGATGTCCTATTAAAAGTAATTCTGGTGTTTACTTTATTCTTTTAAAATTTTGCTGCCTCCAGGTGATACGGTCTTTGTTATGTCTAACTCTTCTCAGTGTGCCCACCCGCATCAGCACTCTTCTCCTTCCTTCCCTCTGCCAACTTATTCTGACTTAGCTGTTTAGGACTAGATATGCAGGTGTGTTAAAATTATGTATAATATAAGAAAAACAGTCCTGGAAAAAGTCTTGTGGATTAAGAACTTTGATGTTGGAACGTCAGACTTCAAACACGTATTGTAACTACTCAGAATCCCTTAGGTTCCTTTATGTTTTGTTTTTGTAGCTGAGATTCAGAAGGGTTATCTCTGAATATGTGAGGCACTAACATAATTGTAAATGTTATTTGACACTGTAGATTTGCTGTCACGACTTGTATAGAATTGACAACAGAGTGAGGTTTAATAACTGTTTGTTGCACAAATAATGCATTGACAAACGAGGCACAGTGTGCAATCTCTGCCTATAAAATTCAGCTGCATGCTCAGGGAAGCAGAAAGCAGAGGTTGGTGTTAAGTATTAACTAAGTATGATGTGGATAAAAGCCAGTATTGCTGGTTTTATTTTGTAGGGGTCACCAATTTAAGGTCAAGGGGAATGCTAGCCAGCACAACAACCCTGTGGGTCACGCATAAGCCCTGCAGTTCAGGCTCTCACCACTACTGTGTTGGTTCACAGTTGGCTAAGTCACATGGTTAGGTGTGCCCTGCTTGGTGCACCCTGAAGGTGCCTGGATTTTTAGGCCCCTGAAATTGTTCTCTTATGGAATCATGATTGAGTATTCTTACCACAAAATATACTTCTAGATGGTGAGACACATGTTCAAAACCTAGACCCTTGATTCCCCTCCAATCCCACATCCCCTCCTTCAGCTGCCTGCTTAGTAATGCCCCAATGCCCAAAACCTTAGGGCTATTCCTCACATTATTACAAACCCATATTCACCCCATCAGCACATCAGATCACCCTTGAAAGATATTTATAACTGGGTGTTTCCCATCATTCCCACTGCTACTATCTTGATCTGATCCCCATCTCCTCTAACCCATATTCTTGTCAGAACCCCAGACGGCTCTATCTGCTGCCACCCCTGCTCTCCTCTGCAGTTTAGGATGGAAGTAAATCCCATAGGCTTTCTGTTCAAAACCTTCTGTTAGTTTCCCATCTCACTCTGTAAAAGCTCAAGTCCTCTGTGTGACCCACCACTTCATCCCTAATCACATGTATTAGTCTGTCTTCTCCCCCAAGAATGTACTCTTCTTCATGGGAGGGGTTTGTTGTGTTCATTATTCTATCCCTCGTGTGTAGGATAAGGCCTTGTTTTAGAGGCCCCATAGACATTTGTTTAGTGAGCAAACACATGAATAAGTGAAAAAAAAAGCACAAAATGATTTATTCATTCAACAGACATGGGGAGACATCAGTCAAAGGGTAAGTTCTGAGGATCTAGTGTGCAGCACTGGTGCTGATGGATACATAAATTAATTTGGTTGTGGTCATTATTACACAATGTGTCTATATATTGAATCAAATCATATTAAAATCAAATCATATTAAAGATATACAATCCTTATTTTGCAAACAAATACTTTAAAATTCAAAAAAATTGAATTCAAGAACCCCCTCCTAAAGCATGCATTGTGTGTTAACTTCATGCCAGACCCTACTCCAGGCCTTGGAATATTCCAGTGAACAAATCAGAAGAAAACTGCTGTCGTGAAGGACAGTTGACAGGGAATAGAGAAGAAGAGAGCAGACGAGGAAGATGGCACAAGACCGCAGTTAGGGGTCCAGTCCCTGAGGTAAGCTCACCTGGACTTTATTCTCTTCCCTGCTACTCACCTGACTATCATGAACGAGTTACTTAAGGCTTTGAGGCTTCAGTTTCTCTCCATCTGTAATGAGGGGTAAGGTATCTATTGCATAGTGTTGGAGAGAATTGTGATAGAGTGATGAGGCAGTGGGCATAAAGCACTTGACACATGGCAAGAATTCATAACTATTGATCATTAGTAGAGCAAATTAAGATATGTAGCCAGTACCACCTGGCTTCCAGAGCTCTATTTGGTTCGTGTACTGGGGAGTGGAGTAAAATCCATGAACAGAGGTGACCTGGTACCTGAAGATGCAATACTAAGCTTAGTACTTTTAAGTTCAACACAGGAAAGGGAATCCATTCAGAGAAAAGTAAAACTGAGAGCCTTGCTCAGTGAGAAAGAAGTATATGTACCTGGAGCATTGACTGATGGGGCAGTCTCATAATAACTGCAGGGTCATTTTGCTGTGGCAGGAAAATCCAGTGCATCTTGTTGAAGAAAAAGAAGCATCTACCTTGAAAATGTAAATCTTACCCATTTTCCTACCCTCCAAAAAAAAAAAGGAAAGAAAACAGAATCCATAACATTTATTTTTCTAACTGTAAAAATTAGAATTGAGAATATAGAATTAAATGGAATTAGACTGAGAGGGCATTGAAGTTCCCATTACCATATAAAAAGGTCTATTTTGGTGAAATGCCTTTTGAAAACACTGTATGGGGAATAACTGTGGCTATTGCTATTCCATAAAACATAACAATATATGGGAAATATAGTTTCCTCTGGAAGAGAAGCTCTGTTGTCACTTAAAGTAATCTATGCAATAGTGACGCTTTTCTTTTCTCCCTCTCAGCATAGTACACAAGGATTTAAAGGAGAGTCTAAATCATAAAACAAACATGGTCACATATGTGTCTATTGTACATCCCCTGAATATTTATAAAGCTGAGGCTTTTGGAGATGTGGAGTTCAACAGATTCCCAGAGAAGGGCTAGACACTATTCTAGTTTGGGTTATTTGATTAAAGCCAGAATTTACATATAGGAAGGACAAAAATCTTACAACCAATGTTTTAACAAAGGAGGAATTGGCATTTCTATAATCAGTCTTGAGGAGAATTCTTTTGCATTAATTATGCTCAGGATCGCTTGAGCATCATTTTGCCAAAACTAGTCCATCCCTGGGGTATGAGCAGAGAAGGGAAAGGCAGAGGTGCCAGGGAGGGTCTCCAAGTTCTGGGCTGAGAAGTGGCTTTGGAAAAATGGCAGAAGGAGTGCTTGCAGTCTTCCATCATTCTCTCCTGGATCTCTGCCTGACTCCCCAGCAAAGCTTCCCTGTAGAACCATCTGGAGTTGTGAATACTGTATTCTCCTGAACAACTTCACAGAGCAAGTTCAGACAAGAAAAGGGGACCTCAGTTTTCTTGCAGCCATTTTTATGAATAGATTACAAAAGGCAAACTCAGGACTTTGTGTCTGTTATACATTTTATATGTACTGGGAAGGAATAAAAAGGGCTCTGGTGTATTTTAGCTTTATTTGTTGTATCTTTTGTCATCTGGAACTTTTACATTTTAAGTCAGATCAATAATGTTTTCCTGTAGGTTTTGCTTTTTGTATCTTACGGTCACATGCCACATATGACACTTCAGTTAACAATGACCTGCATACATGAGGGTGGTCCCATAAAATTATAATGGAGCTGAAAATTCCTGTTGACTAATGCGTTGGTAGCCATGATCTCGTCATAGCACAGGCACTAATTATGAGCTTGTGGCAATGCTGATGCAGAATTTTTATATTCACTGCGGGTCACATGAAAGAACAGCACATGTAATTATGTATGCTACATAATACTTGATAATAGAAATAAACAACTATGTTACTGCTTCGTGTGTTTTCATAACTATATTTCTATAATTATTTTAGAGAGTGATTCTTTTACTGATACATATGTAAATAAAAAGGGTACTGTCAAAAAACATGCTGTGTCACCCTGGCAGCAGCCTCATGTGTCTTTTCACTGCAACAGAGGGTCATGTCCACGACTAGCCTATACTATCTCAGTTTGCATAAGTACACTTTAGATGTTCACACAGGACAAAATTGCCTGATGATGGATTTCTCAGAGCATAAGCTCTTCTCTTAAGTGATATGTGACTGTATTTAGATTATATGAAATTGTAAAGCTATTTAACTACATATGTATCTTTGAAGAGCACATATTTTCAACCCAGCAGTTCTACTCCTATGAATATATTCCAGAGAAACTCCTGTACAGTTGTACAGGCAAATACCTACAAAGATGGTTTTTGCAATATTGCTTTCAATGGCAAAGAAATTGAAAAAACAAACTAAATATCACTGACTGGGGAAATGAGAAAAATAGATTGAAGTGACAATTTGAGTGTTCTTATACAAGTATGCAAAGACTGTTAACCAATGGCTAAGCCTGTTTGCTATTTAGTGGAAAATAATTTCACATTGATAAAGTCATTTGATAAATTTCACTCATTCAATGAATCACTTCTAGGTTTTAAGTACTGTGCTAGGTGCTATGTATACATTAAGGTAGAATTCTGGCCTTCTTGGAGCTTATAGTCTAGCCATTTTTGAACTTTATTAGCCAAAGTAGGATTTGAAGTTTATTTAGGAATATCATTAGGTCAATTTAGCGGTTGGTTTGGTCTTGGACACAATTATTAAATTATATTGATAAGTATTCAAATTCATGTCACATGATTTAACCAGTTACAGAGCAAATTCTTGGTTTTCTGTTCAACCATGGCCCCTCCTGAAGATCTCATCACAGGAAAAGATCTTTGTAGAGATTTAACATGTTGCTTCAATCCAAAGAACAATGTACCTTTTAAGAGAGAAAATTCTTAACTCAGAGCAACAATATTGCAGGTATCACAAATGGTATTGTAAGTTAGACTTTTTCAATTCTTCTCTTTCACCTAAGCCAGGGGTGTTCACTCACAGCTACACAATAGAATCACCTGTGAATGCTTCTACACACAGATGCCTGTGCTCCAATCAAGACCAGTTAAATCACACTATCCAAGGGTTCAGCTGTGGACTTGCTAGTGACTAACAGGCATATTGGTTGAAATCAATCAAAATGTCCAACTTGGGTAAAATCCTGTATTTATCTGGCACATAACCACAAAATGACAAACAGAAAGTTATGAAGGCAGTTTTTAAATTGTGATGATAAATGACTGGAAAGGTAAAGATTGAGGAAGAAATAGAAAGAACAGCTGCTGGGGTCAGACTAGGGAAGTTTATCCACACTAGCTGTTTGAGCTCATATCTTAGTATCTTACTAAAAAGTATGGACAATAATACCTGCCTTTCATGGGGCTATTTAAAATATTAAGTGTGTAGAACACACCTGTCCAAGCTCTGTGAAACCCTCTTTGACTCAGATGGAATCAAGTACTCTCTTCTCTGGCCTCACACCCCTTGCCTGAGACTAATGTCATTCACCTATTTATCACTTGGCCTTTCAGTGGATATACTTTCTTATCTACCTCCCTCTCATAGTTTTCTGCTAAGTATATGAAGAATTTTGGAATGAGGAAGATCATTACGTCATCTTAAGGAATACACATTCATTCTTATAAATGAAAGGTTTTCATTTTTATTACCCCTTCCCCATTCTCACTCTCTGAGGAAGTAAAAGCCACTAGATGAGAACTTCTGCAAGCTCCCCAGCCTCTATCCACGTGTGTGCCTGTGCCAGTGCCCCCGAGTCCCTCTGTGACCTCACGTTCTGTGACTGTCCATGCTGCTAGTAATGGCCAACTGCTCTACCTGTCCAAGAGACTACAGTCCCTTCTTGGTTGCTCAGTAGACACCTGCTTTCTGGCTTTCACTGATATTAGCAAAGTGACCATTTTTTTAGCACCTCAGAACCAAGAGAAGATGTACTCAGGACTGCACAGGCACATGGGGGTTCTTATAGAACTCACTTATTTTCTATGTACTATTTGCTAAAAATAAATAAATAAGTAAAAATACTTTACTAAGCCAAGCCTCAGCTTTAATTATTAAAGTTAACATTTTATAGCTTTTAGAGAAAAGCAAAACTAAACCAGAGTTTGTAAGTCCTAAGGTATTGGGCAAGTTACTTAACCTTTCTGGGCCTCAGCTTACTCCTATGTAAAATAAATTATTATAAAGTTCAATGAACAGAGCTTCGCTCAAGTCTGGCTAACTAAATGTTGGCTATTATTATTGAATCATCCAAGTCTTTGTTTAAAGATTTTATAGAGAGCCCTTTACCAGTCATCCTAAGATAGTATCAGTCATGTTTCTTTCTTTATCTTGCATTGCTGATAGACATTATTGCTATTTCATATTGTATGAGGGATGTGTGTGTGTGTGTGTGTGTGTGTGTGTGTGTGTGTGTGTGTGTATGACCTGTCTTACCAATCTAGAATTAAACATCATGATGACAGGGAGTTTATCAGGTCACTGCTGGATCCGGAATGGTGCCTGGTATAAGGTTGGCATTTAATATATATATAATTGTTGAATGAATGAATGATTACATTCCACATGCTCACAACTTAAGGCTGTATGATTTTAAAATCATCTTAAAATAAGATGAAATAAGAGAAAATTTACATTTAAAATCCATTCCAGTAGGCTCATTTTGAACAACTTACATTGTTATGAAATATTTTTCTTATGACAACTAAATTACTAGCCTTAAGAAACAGTTATGACAAATCCAAATTTCTTTCCTTTCACTCTCTAATTTATGAATTGTAGAACTTGTGGTCACTCACTTTTAACTTTTGAGTTAAAGAGCATTAACAGATCTCTCCTCAGCCTGCCCATTTCTGGGCTAAGAAATCTCAGAACTTTTACTTCTAATAGTTAAAAATATATGATTCTATATGGTTCTCTTCTGACCTTGACCAAAATCTCCACATCCCTCTCTGGCTTGGAGTTCAGAATTGGAAGTGGCGCTTC